ATTTATGATATTAGTATGATTATTTTGCGTACACAATCGTTGTCGTTAAATAAACTATATTAAACGGATTAATTTGCGGTTGTAGATGGCACGTTTCGCCTTAATTGCATATCGCGGAAAGCGGATTATCGACTCGATGGTCAATCCCTAAAGGATTTAGATTCGCACAATAGTTGCATTATTGCAATTGTGGTGCTAATTGTTAATATTTAGGCAGTATTGGTGTGTGTGTAGAGGAAGTTTGAGAGTAGCCCCAGTGGTTGAGAAAATAAGGAGTAAAAGGTTAGAGTGGTATGGGCATGTTATGAGAAGGGATGAATCGCATGTAACAAGAAGGATGTTAGTTATGAATGTGGAGGGGTACATCGGTAGAGGTAGACCTAGAAAGAGATGATCCCTTCTTGATCATGTCACCTTTCACGCAATGATGGATTGCGTGAAAGGTGACATGATCAAGAAGGGAGTGATGACTGAGATGACGGATGATAGAATGCTTTGGAGGACGAAAACCCGGTGCGCCGACCCTACGGGAGTAGGATAAGGCAGGGGAGATGATGATGGTGTTACAGTGTATTTTTATACACATTACTATAATTGAAATAATGTTTTCATACGAAATAAATAATGAAGTACTTCTACCTTTCATTTTATAATATTTGAATAGCGTAATGAGTTGAAAAGGCTTACATCATATTAGCTGAGTGCAGACAGGTTGGTGCAGAGGGTCTGTGGGTGGAGGGATATAATTGAGTGGTTTGTATGTGCGGCCACGGCGAGGCGTGTGCGGACACTTTATGAGTCGGATGTAGTGATGTGCTACATTGTCGATAAGACTATCGATATAAAAATGTATAGATAATTTTAAAACAAAAGAAAACGTGCATAGCTTACAGCACTTTTAGTGATGATTGGTTTATTTGTAATTCACGAATAGGTATTAAAATTTCAATTGCTACGCCGTAAAAAACATCCAACAAATAATAGCTTCTATTTTTGCAGAGAACAAAAAAGTATTTTTCTCTTTTAACTGGCTTGAAATTTTAACGGTAATCATGAACTTTTCATTGAAATATCACGTAATTACTCGTTCGTTGGATTTTTTTATATTAAACTCTTTGTTAGCTGTTATTTATTAAAAGTCATAGTTCATAATTAATTTTAGTTTGAGTTTTATTCGTGTGTAGTTCGTTGTCCAAATGTTAAACAAAGATTTTTTGGATCACTATTAGGATTGTTATTTTTTTTAATTAAAACTGCAATTCTAAGAAGATTAAAGTGAACGTACTAACTTTGGTAAATTAGAAAGGTAATTCAAGTTGAAGTTATCACACAAATCAAATAATTCAGGCATCAGAAAGTCAACCTAGTTTCGGAGGTCTACACATTCTGGTCGTATGCGCCTCCCTCCGGTAATAGACTCCCGCGGGATATAAAATCGCTCATAAATTTCGTTGGGAACGATCGCAGCCGCGAAGACAGGGATATTGGAGCGGCAATTTGTGGAACACTTTTAATGGACAGAATTCGTGTTCTGACTCGATGAATTATCATTTTTATTAAAATGTTGGTACATTTCTCGATGTTGCTAATCGGTTTTTAATGCCCAGTGTTATATTTTTTAACGTTAGATTAATTTTATTATTTGAATTAATGTTTAAAACAGCCCGTTTCGACTCAATAGTCAAGATGGTAACCGTAAGATATTTTAATTACCCCTCGAAGATATCAAAGGATAGGCCTAGTTTTTGATTATATATCTCATAAGAAAACGTTAAGAATGGGAAGCGGTTTGATGGTGAATAAAGGTAGTTAACGCAGCTGCAATTGAGATGTCTATGGGCAGCATTTCATACCCATATGGGCGAATTCAGGCCGCTTACTTATTAGCTACTTTATGATATAATATAAAAAACATACATACATAGTACCTTTATCATAAAAATCTATTTCTATCCTTTAATATAAATAGTTATGTATTGCTGCCTTGGCTATTTTGAATGCTAACTCGGGCCAATTCCATTTGTTGCTATGCGGCACTTAATAAAGCTACGATCGGGTCACTCGCGGACTCCATGTATGGTTGATATATGAATGATTAATTTTTAGCTTCGCTGACGTGTGACCTTTATTGTTTTTAGCACAAGGCCGCAAGTAAACAGTATGACAGAACATCACAGTCGTATTTCCAGTGAGCGGATGCTTTTGAATTGCAAATGGCCACTGGCGTATCTCCACCGTAGGCTCTGACCTTCCGTCACGCGACTTGGCGATATCGCGCCTCGCCGCAGTATCGAATTTAGCGTTGGAGTGGTTCTTTAACTGCTCGCCTTCGCCGTTGGCCAGATTAAAATGAGATTCGAATTAATATTAAATTCAATGCGGTTCGCTGGCAACGTTTATTCGCCCGGGCTCCTATGTTGTGGGAGAGATTATTATCTGACCCAATTTATCGTACGAACGAAAAGAAAATTCTTGAATGCAGTAACGTGAGCGATAAATACAATAGTCTGATTAATTGTAAGTTATTAAGTTACAGAGTTTAAAAAATAAACACAAACAATCATATTTTACCAAGTAACATTTAAATATTTTTTTATACAAAAAGGTGGCAAATGAGAAAGCGGTCACCTGAATCCGCCAAAATGGCGAAACGACCGCTGCCCATAGACATCCGCAATTGCAGATGAGTTGCCTACCCTTAATCGACGGAGGAGAAGACGCACACAAAGAAAATATTTCCCCTTCCTAAGCGTCTCCTCCACCGTCAAATACACTTTCCCTCCCAACCCTTCTCTTAAAAGTAAAAGGTGGGACAGGAAAGGGACTAAAATTGGACCTCCGGCACCACACTCATCAGACGAAACGCGGAATTGTGTCCACTCCACGCCTGTTTTCTGTGTAGTCGTGGGCTCTACCACTGTCAAAGATTATACTACTCGTATTTTGTAGCACATAGTAAATAACTGTTAATATTATTATTTTTTTGTTCATATTATTTATAGGCAATAGAGTAACAGGGTATGGTTTTTCGTCATCGACTACATTGCGTACCTCTTTCTTCATACGAATTTTTGTATTGTAAATTTTTGGTTAGTGCAGACATAATGGCGTAGCCGCGCTGACGCTACGGCGTAGCACCGATCGCAAGCCGATATGAAACTTCAATTTCCAAATAAACTGCGAGTCTGAGACTTGAGTTAAACAAAATAAGTATAAGCATTATCACATCAGAAAATATTCTAACGTCCAAAAATAAACATAGAGTTATATTTAACAATAATCAGTGCGATTATGACTTTTGTATATTTTTCATATATCTATCACCTATCGTACGAGTTCGGTTATCAAGTGTTATTAATAAACTTTAGGTTATTTGTCAAAATAGTCCTTTATTTTAACAAACACACCTTTTGTGATAAAATTCTGGCATCATGTGCATCATAGAGCGTCTGTGTTTATTGAAATAATTCAAAAACTACTGGACAGGTTTCAAATATTCTTTTCGATGGAAAACCTTTGTTATCACTAAGTAGCATAGGATATATTTTTTATTATCTTTTAATTCCACGTAGACGCAGTCGCGAACAACGTCGAGTTTTAGTTTCGATATGACGAAGTCTGTTGTTTACTTCAACATAATATCCAATATCCGTTGGAGAGCAATAACTGGGAGTGTTTGATTTGTTCGGCCAACATAAACAATCGAAGTTGTTCCACATTAAATATTTGCTCGACCGGGCGGTTGTTCGCAGCCGACGGTTAGCGACGGCTTGTTTTACTATCACTAAAATCTATAGATAATCGATTATAATTTGTAGTTTTAATCTTGATTTATTCATTTATTATACTAAATCCGATACGATATATAATTTTTTTCCGTTTCATAAACTGTATTGACACTTTGATTTTGAATTTTGATTTGTGTTTTAGCAACAAAATGTTGGTGAACCTATGAAGAATAAAACCCCCAAGGGGGCCTCAGGTCGTTACAAAATAACAAAGATTTACAAGATATGAATCTTATGTGATTAACATTTTGCATAACGAAAACACAAGTGTTCAGTATATTTGTAGAATACGTAAATAATCAGTATGACGCATTGATATAAAACGATCACGCGGTTAATTAACACTTTTTATCAAAACAATTTCCACAAATATATGAAATCTAACTATTAAGATGGGGCCATGTTCTATCTTGTTGCAAAAGTAAGAAATAAAGCTATACTCTGGAATGTATTGTTCTAAAACAGAACTAGAGTCTGTTTTATTGCAAGAGCATAAGAGAGGGACGAAAATCTAAAAATGGAAAAATAGTCTACTGCTTAATTAAATGACTAAAAGTTTATTACAAAAGATTTTCTGCCTTTGGTTTATGAAAGACTACTTTTTTAAGTTATTAAAATAGATTTTACATAATTTTCATAGATCTACATATACTGTATAATGGCTTAAAATATTCAAATATTAATAATGCAAGAAATGTAAAATCTAATATTATTGAGGCTAAATGTAATCATGAGATTTGAGAACTACCTCACTCCGGAGAAGAATATGAATCCAAAATCCATTCTTAAATCTTTTAGTCTGCTTATGATGAAGAACATCAAATTAATTTTCCATACTAAGGATCTAAACTGTTCAATTTATATTTCAGGTGGTGATAGTAAGAGCGGGCGTAGCGACGGTATGCGTGTGCTGGTCGCGACGCTGGCCGCGCTGGTGGCGCGCGCAGTCGCCGGCCCGCACGAACACCGCGCCCGACATCATGCCCCCGAACATACCCTCCATTTCCCGGCTCCAGATGCACCACAACCGTACCGAGGACATGGCGAGGCAGTTCGCTACAATCCTGAATTAGATACAATACTCCCTCGCTTAGAT